GTACATATCTATTTTAGTTAATTCTAGACACTTTCTGAAAAATTGTCGGATTCCCTATTGCCTCTGATGAAAATTGCGATGTTAAATACAAAAAGAGATGTTAACGTTAGTAATCCATATTTATTAAAAAAAGCCATACACCTGTCTGTACGTTTTAAACCACACATTGCTCTAATACATTTTTTGCACTAGGAACACTCTCTTCGCATTTATTGCATTACCCCAGAAAATTATTCCGTGATATTTCTGTATAATTGTTTCTATTTTAAATCTTTATTGAATTCCTTTTCAGCCTGGTGCCTTCTAAACGACATAGACACGCTACTCTATCACATGAACAACGCGCGATACCTCCGCGAGCTGGATTTTGCTCGAGCTGATTTTTACGAACGCACAGGTCTATACGCTAATATCAAAACTGCAGGAGGGTCCGTCGTGCAAGCTGCGTCTACTATACGGTACAGGCGGTATTTGAAACCGTTTACTAGGTTCATTATTACTTCTAAGGTGAGTTGGTTTTAGTATTTTAAATTTTAAATGCCTGTAAATAGATTTGAGATATACATTGAATTGTATGTAAGGGAACAATCACCACCTAAGCTCCTAATTTCAACCTCACCTGCACGTGGTGCATCCTGCAGTAACTAACAAGTCTCTGGCGACCGGTCGATGGCGGTATAGCACTTCACATAATGACACAGTAAAACTTAATTACCACCGACGGGCAGCAGCTCAGGGATCTAAAACACTGTCCTGCGATCTCCAACCCACATGCCCAGCGTAGAGATTATGGGCATTAACCCCACAAATGAACGACACAACACAGGAAAGGCCCCTAGTTCCTGGCCGCCTCGCTATGGACACGGTAGCGGCCTTGTTAACGGCGGGGGTGCTAAGAATCACTGGGCTACCTTAGGCTACTTAAAACAACTGACCCTGGCATCGTTTAATGGATGAGCTCTGATGCTTGATGAGCACCTAGCACAGTTGGAAGCGGAGCTAGAGAACATAAAGTGGCATATTCTGGGTCTATGCGAAGTCCGAAGAGAGGGAGAGGATATCATAACCCTGGACTCGGGCCATCTGTACTTCCGCGAAGGTGATCAACCATCCCAGGGCGGCGTAGGATTACTCGTCAACAGTGCCCTCTCTAGCAGCGTTGAGGAGATCTCTTGTGTGTCGACCAGAGTCGCCAGACCAGCGTACCTTATACTTCGGCTATCGAAAAGGTATAGCTTGAGGATTGTACAGGTCTACGCGCCGACCTCGACACATTTAGATGACGAAGTGAAAGGTATGTACGAGAACATATCAAGAGCCTTACACAACACCACTTCAACGTTGTTATGGGGGACTTTAATGTTAAAGTGGGACTCCAGAGTCTCAACGAATCTCGAATAGGCCCACATGGTTATAGAAGTAGAAATCACAGGGGGCAGATGCAGATCAACTTCCTCGAGAGGAAGGTGCTCTTCTTGATGAACTCGTTCTTAAGAAGAAGCCTCAAAGGAAGCGGACGTGGCAAAGCCCTGACGCTGTGACCAAAAATGAGATTGACTTCATCTTGGTGGATAAACGGCACATATTCAGAGATGTCTCCGTGATCAGCAGGTTTAATACCAGATCTGATCACCGACTCGTACGAGGCTCTCTGAATATCGATCTCAAACTGGAAATATGCCGCTTGATAAGTCCACGCTCCGGTCTAATCCACTCTAGATCATAGCGGGCACCGATAAGTTTCAGAAACTTCTCGAGCAAAGATTCGTTGAGTTGGAACCCACTGATGACGTCGACGAGGCCCTGTAAAACTTGATTGAAACGTTCAGGACAGAGGGCGTCAAATTTTGCCGATTGCAGCATACAGGTACGAAGTCCAAGCTCTCGAGAAGACGAGAAGACACTCGGGCCACTTCGTCAGAGCGGCGAGACCTCAACAAGAAGCTTGCGAAAATGATACGGCGCGACCTTCGGAGCTACAGTACACGCCTCATTGAGGAGGCAATAGTACGAAACCGAGGGTCCAAAGAGTTCACTCAGCAGCTTGGAAGGAGCCACCTGACGAAGCTTACAACACACGGTTTTCGAACATACCGTCCAAGTCGGAGATGCTCGCCGAGATAGAAAACTTCTATGGCCGGTGATACGCTGCACATATTCCTTACGCACATATACCCTACACAACAACCACGATCCCAGAGCCGTCCTGATGCGCCACAAATTTGTGTAATATATATTTTTTTATTTGTAAAGTCCCGCACTAGGAAAATCCTGTAATGAGCGTGTCATGGACACACATAAATAACCACAAATTACACCCAAAGTCACGAGAGAAATAAACGTAAGCCATACAAATATTTCTCCCAGTCCGGGAATCGAACCCGGGACATCTGCGTGACAGTCCAGCATGGTAACTGTTCGGCCACGGATTCAGTAAATATTATATCGTTTGAACTTCCAGGCAATCTACTGGGACGACAAAACAGTGTTCATGGAGCACGAATTCGTCGGTCCAGGGGGATTTGTGCATGCAGTAGCGGTTTGCCGTCAACGTGTAATTGACACGTCGGCTGCTAATATAGCTGAGCTATTGGTGCAATTGCACTGCTCGGGGCAGTGCCGATCTATGCCTAGCAAGATGCCACATGAGGTATGCCACAAGTCCATCTAATAGTTTTTCACTGTAGACGTTTAAGTAAAGTCAAATAATCATTTACTCCATACGTAAATTTTTTACACTTGTAAACGTTTTTTTTTAAGCTACTGCTCCGTTCACTTCGCTGACCTCCCTGAGAAGAACGAGCAAGAAACACTAGGGATTGCTCTTTTCAAATAAACTTAAATGCTATGGAATAAATACACTTTGAATCATAATTGTGCGGAATCAACTTGTCTTTCCATACACCTTTATCTAACAAATACTCTTCAATTTTGTAATATGACTTTTCAATTAAAATACTTTTAATGTAAGTTTTAAACTTAGGAAAGTATACTCCGGAATCTTATTGTAAAAATGTATACAGTTCCCCATAAAAGAATCGTTTATCTTAGTTAAACGAAATCGTGGTACCATGAGTTTGGACTTAGTTCTAAGATTAATATGGGTATCTTCTTTCTTAATGCAATTATATATATTTTTACGCCCATACAAAATATTTGAGTAAATGTACTGTGATGCCACAGTCATGACACCAGTCTCCTTAATCTTTTCTCTGAGAGAAACCCGAGAACCTAAACAGTACATAGAACGAATCGCTCGTTTTTGCAACACAAATATGGTTTGTATATCTGCCGCTTTACACCACATACCAATCCCATAAGATATTATGCTATGGAAGTAACTAAAGTAAACTAGTCTCGCAGTAGCAACATCGGTATGCTCACGTATTCTATGAACTGAGTATGCAGCAGAGCTTAATCTGCTTGCTAAGGAAGATATATGTGGACACCATTGAAGTTTTCCATTGAAGTTTACTATCTAAGGTCACTCCCAAAAATACTGCTTGTTAATAACAAGGTCTAACTTTTCTTCATTTATTTCGATGATTGGACTAGTCGATTTTACATTGCGGGCATTACGTCGATTACAACTTAGGCGAAACTGGTGCTGCTCGGGACAGTGCGTTTCTTTGGTAGCCAAGACGCCACGTGAGATATGTGGACGTCCTTTTAAATCTTAATGTGATCTTCAAAATCGTATCCAGCATCGAAGTATTTTTTCTGAGTGTTCGATCTTTGTATTAATAAGTGTAACAAACTTGTGGAGTAATTTTACAAAAATAATTGAATATCAATTCAATAAAAAATTAAAATACAGTGGATAGCGACATCTCTCGCCAGGGCTGGTAGCTGTAAAGGTATCTAACTGGGTGATAAAACTTTCATAGATTTCTCATAGATGGCGCTACGACTGAAAAGTCGTTGAAAAACCAAATGCAAAGACACGACAGCAAGCACATAGAACAATTCGTGAGGTCCACTGGTTTATTCCGTTGCTTAGTTGGTATAGCGTCTGCCACGGTATGCTAGAAGACGTCAGTTCGAATCCGGCCGGATCGAAGGAATTTTTTCTGAGTGTTCGACCTTTGTATTAATAATTATAACAAACTAGTGTAGTAATTTCACAAAAATAATTGAACATTAATAAAAATTTAAAATATTAATGTTTACTTCAAAAATAAACGTGTTTCAGCTGGAACTGTGGGTGCAGAGCAATGAGCTTAGTTCAGCCAAGCTGCGCGCGACCGCCAACCAAATCATCCCCAACTACGGTCAACCAATCGGCTGCGGTCCCTGCGGGGAAGTGGTGCCGCCATCGCCTTCGGACATTTAAAATTCACTTTTTCAATATACACTAACGGCGCGTGTACACGCTAAGAAAAGTCGCCGGGTCTATGCAAGAATTCGTGTCGTTTCTACACACGAACTGTGTACACAGCCTCGGCGCCGGACAAGAAAAAATTCTTGTCTAACCCCGACGCGACGCGCTCTGCCGCTATTGCATAGGGCGCAGTGTCAGTAAACGACCGTTTATGCGCGTGGACTGATTTTGCCCACTGTTGTTGGTAAACCTTTTTGCTGACACACCTTCTATGTAGGTCTTTGATTTGAACGTTTGTTAAAACGTTGAAATTTTCATACGAAAATATTTGATAAACTTTTCCACATGTAGTCGCAGTGTAAAATAGAGGGTACCAAATTCATCTTTTTGTTGCAAAATTGGGTGAGTCCAATAAATTCTCTTGTATCTTCTTTTCTTAGCGTGTACACGCGCCGTTATACTCTCTTTTTTGAAAATGGAATAAAATGACTGTTCATTACGCAAAAGTGTTGCCCGCTTGCATTTATCGACTGAATGTTGGTTACGTTTATGTTTTTTTTTTATAATATCCAGTGACGGGACGAACAAGTTGTGCGTCTGATGGTAAGCTACACGCCTGTCCATAACACTTGCAGTGCTACTCAAGGCTTAAATCGCTAAGATCTGTAGGGCATTGCCACTGCGCCCGTTCAAAAGCGGAACACAGTAATGCTGACATTACTGCTTGGTGGCAGGAATAGGTAAGGAGGCAGCACTTCCCTAGACGAACTCTTTAACTCTTTCACAAGGAGCTCTACTGCTACTAAATAGTTTATGTAATAAATAGCCGGACTTATTACATCTGAATCATCATCGACCGATTATTCGTCCAGCTGCTGGACACAGGTTCCCTTGAATTGCCAATTTTTGTAAGTCATTTATAAACACAGTACATTTGGTGAAATTATAGGCACATGAGACTTGTCAACTTACGTCTTAGGGTATCGGGCGCAGTGGCAATGCCCCTCAGATCTTTGTGATTTAAAGCTCTGAGTGGCACTGCAAGTGTTAGGGGACAGTCGTGTCGCTTACCACCAGGCATGGGATTTGTTCGTCCTGTCGCTTAATATAAAACAAAAAAAAAAATGGAACTAAGTCTATTAAAAATACAAATAGGAGACACATTTTAAAAGTTTTCATTTTAATTCAATATAAATAAAACTAAGTCCGCCGGTTCTTACTAAAGTGGAATTCCCTGCCGAGTTCCCTGAACGTTATAACTTGGGCCTTTTCAATGCGAGAGTGAATAGGTATTATTTTGGTGTGCATGCTCCATTGTCGACCTCATCGTTACAATTCATTAAGTGAGATGGAGGTCAAATGCGCACTTATATTTAATAAAAAAAATGTATATGAGTAAAAAAATTTAGAAAATTTTGTGAAAACTAGCAACCCTGCAAATGTCATATTACTCCGCCTTTAAAAAAAAGCAGACTATACGTGTTTCACCCTCTCACATTTCAGTTTAATACACGTGTTATATGACGGGTCCATATTTGTACAGGGTCAAAAGCAAGTCAAGCTTTGCACTTAAGCCTTAAATCCAACTCTATGCCGCTTACGATAAGAACAGTCCAAAGTACAAAGTGTCAAGCTTGATGTTCTCTTGACTGTACAATTTTAGCGCATCAAGTTTCCAACACAGTTCGTGGTGAGTTTGGGCGTGAAATTATTCGCTTGAATACGTATCGCGGTCAAACTCCACGTGTCACTTATGAAAATGGAAGTAAATTCATTTGCTACTCTGCGAACCCAGTGATGGCTAAATCGTGGAAAACAAATGCATTTCTGTTGAATACTTTTCCATGCTGTTAATTTTCGCATAAAAAATAATAAACTAAATAACACACACACAAGCTCAACTAGAGTCACAAACACCACTACCAAAAATACACCTGTCTATCATAGACATAGCAACACCGCCGAGGCCGTGGCGAATAAAATAAAAAAGGAAGAACAGATCGAAGACAAAGCTGCCGTAACACGCGTCGCTAATTTGTTTATTTTAATTTTATTTCCTTATTTTCCGTATTCTGTATTTCTGTGGAATTATTAGTAACGACAATATTCTTGTTTCATATAATATTGCTATATAATTATGTTACTAGAATTTCACAAGTTCTGCATTAAAATAAGTATCAAGACGGTGTTTAAGAAACGATTACAAAAAATATATAAAGTTAATACAGTTCACCAGCATCTTTTTTTATCCACTGGACCTAGATAAATGGTCCTTCGAACCGGATATGAGCCACCTACAGTCACCTACAGAGCACCTACAGACCCGACACGTGTTTCGCCTCTCTAAGAGGCATCCTCAGCAGTTCTTGATTTGAATTTCTTCGGCGCAATTTCGTCACGGGGTTCCCTGAGTAGAAACTTCATTCGTTTCCATTTTTATTAATATGGAATTCCGCAAAGTAACGTCTGAATCTATTAATTATTACTGTGTCACGTTACAGAGACGTTACCCGAAAATATAACGTAAATTTAAACACGGTGTCGATCTAAAGACATATGATTCTTTATAAAACGGCGTGGACTTCAAAATCAAATAGGAGCTGTGGGTGTACTCTTGTCCTCGTTCGACATTCCGTTCGAAACAAATAAGTAATACTCGACAAAATGAAAATACAATGTCAAGTATGAAGATTCATTCGCATCATGCATCTTTTAATTTAGTTGACAGTCATTATTTTGGACGGATGTCGGCCAGAGAATGGGAGTAGATACCCTGGTTATAAACAATGTCATTCGTTTGGTGAAAGCGACGTTTGTATTGGTCAAATATTTTTTAAAATCGTTACAAAAAATTTACTATTATTACGTTCTAGAGATTGTTAATAATCCTTTTAAAAAGCCTAGTAAAGTGATCTTTTTTAGTTTTTTTTAACCCAAATGTGCCTATGACTAAAGTTATCATTAAATTTTGTTTGGTAATAAAAATATTTGCTACTTACATTTTTATTAAAATGGAAAAAATTAAATTTCGTCAAACGAAATTTTTTATTGTGATTACTTAGCACTATAATATACTCATGTAAATAATAAAACAAATAATTTGCGTTACTATACATATTTTTTTTAGTAATAATCGATTTTTTTTAGTAATAATCGTTCTTTATGGTAATTCCCAATTATTATATAGTATAGATCTAGGAAGATATAAAACAGACCAAAAGTTTTTTGGACCGGTTCATGGTAGAACAGTTTAATCAAAAACAATAGTCGAATGGAAATACTTCAGCATAATTTCAAAACTCTAGTCTGTCAGTGAAATTTGTGTCAGTGGAATGGCACTGATGGCATTCTTTCATTCAATCGATCGATGTAAACTACCATGGAAATTACAATGCATATCTTAATTTTTGTCTCGTGTAATCAGCAGCCTTTCTATAATTTGATTCTAAGTTTTGATTATAGTGACCCTCCCTACCGACCCTTAGGGTATACGAGAAGGGTACTACAACCTGTTCGCGCACAGGAAGGAACCTTATAAGTTTAGGTTCTGACCAGATCAGCCAGTGTACGGGGTTGTTACAGACCTCTGTCACTTGACTTACCTCCCTATTTTCCAGATAGGTACCGGAGCTGTAGGCACGCTCATTTCCCGTTGCGCATTGCCCAACTAGACGTTTAATCGACTCAAAATTGAAGAGCTGAATACTAAAAAATTGCAATGGCTGTTAGTAGTACAATAGTAGCTTTTCGCAGAATACCAAATATACAAAATCCTGCCATTGACACTCTATCACACACAACTGAGATGATTTAAAGTAGCAGACTTGGGACCCTGGTTGCCTTCAATTATATACTGTTGTTTGCTTTACATAGGTTTTTAATATTTACAAGTTTGAAACGTTTGCATTATTGGGTACAGGCACAGCTATTGAAATTATGTTTGAAGTATTTGTTTATAATAATATGGAATTATCCTACAATTTACTGTACATAATGTATTTATCATTTTTATGGTTTTTAATTATCAACACAATAAATTTCAAATTATTTACAATATCGGTGTTTTTATTATGGTTATTATCTTCTTAAGTCTACACCTCTGAGACATCAGTGTTTCGCGGAATTGTAATAAATGATTACACATCTTAACATTTTTATTAAAAAAACTGCTCTCAAAAGTTAGCTCCACTTTAGCTGGCCGTTTATTGGTGTTCATACTAGTATGTATACTGATATTAAAAAAAAAATATTTGACAACAGAATTGTGCAGGTAGATACATTATAAATAAGAAATGAAATACAACAATAGAAACACAACTTGTTGCAGTGTATATGGCGTACCGAGAATTGGTCTTGATTCCTGCACTATGCAAAGCCTGTCTCGCAGGTAATCATTGTTTCCTCGTTATAAGCGTTTCGTCCACCAGGATCCCCTAGCCCAATCCCCCAGGGGATCCTTGTGGACTCAGTAGTTCATCAGAATCCCCCGAAAGCGGATACATAACGTTAAGCCCCAATCACACTATGGTACCTTAAAACAACATAAACTTTCAAAAAAAAAAACAATATATTCTTATCTATATTTCTTAAAAGTTAACAATTTTCGCAATAAGAACAGAATACCAAAGAAGTTTATCAATAAATTATTGGGATTAAAATGAACAAATCAATATAAAGAAGGTAATAAAAATACTTAATGAAACTTACTTCACTTTATAATGGAAAAGATTGACGAACACTATTATATGGCCTATAAGAATTATTGGCACCCATTGATGGTAATATTTAGTCAGCATTAACACCCTGTAAGCAAATTTGCTGCAAGTAAATTATGAAGTACATCACCTATACAAATAATGGTACAGTCAGTATCATATTCATTTGCTAATCATAGAACCTTGCTGTTTAACATCATTAATCGCCCACCATACTAAATTATCATAGGAGTTATAGTGAAAAGGTACTATGTGACTGTTACATAATGAAAGGCATTAAAATACGAGTGTGGGTTTATGTAACAAGCCGACGGGTGAGTGTGTACAGTTACATACATACACTGCTTTATCTACACGCATATTATAAGCTCTCTGTGATATGTTCAGGAACCGCATGTTACGATTGGCGAAATGGCGACAAATAAAACGTTCCTCACGCATGTCACACAACCGTAGTTTTTATTTTTAATTCATAGACAAATTAAAATCGGCCCCAATCATATCGTTCGATATCAAGTAATGTGTGTAATAATAACATCGAATTCGATGTTATGAAGCATAGAGGATGGAAAAATTCCATAGTCTAAGTTAAGAAGCAATAATAACATTTTCACAGATAAGAAATTTGTTCTAACAAAACAGTTTTCCTCTAAGTTGGTCGTAATGACGGTTTTTGAACACATTATAGAGACTTTATGATATGTGTGTAGA